AGGGCCTTCGCGGGGCTTCCTTGCACTCCCGCCGGCCTTGCAGGTCCACCGCCGGGCGCCTCATGGGGCTCGGCAGTGGAGCTGCAAGGCCGCCACCGCCGGCCGGGACCGTTGGGGGCGGGGTGTGTGGCCTTATGATACACCTCCGGTGATGTCAGGGGGTGTGGCCTTATGACACACTTCCGGTGATGTCAGGGGGTGTGGCATATGCTAATGAGTTATGCTAATGAGTCCCCCTAGCTCTTTTTCTAGGAAATGACCCCTGGGTAAAATGAACAGCCATGGTATAGTCCAGAAGTCATATGACAGGGCAATTAATTATTCCCTGTCGTTATAACTAGATAACTTTATATATCATTATAACTATATATGTATAGTTATGAAGTGTTAAAAAGCTTAGAAAACTAATCTCTCTCTCTCTCTCTCTGTATGTGTGTGTGTATATACACACACACACACACACACACACACACATATATTGCTATTAGTTTTCTACTAATACTTCTATTGCTATTAGTTTTCTAAGCTTTTTAACACTTCATTTTAAAAGAATTCATTATAAACTAATCCAAGAATCTGATCTACTGCTCATTATCATTTTCCTGCTATGGTAAATGTAAAAAAATATTGAATAATGGTAAATGATAATTTGAATGATTTCTGATACAGTAACATTTTTTTCATGGTGTTTTTCTTCTTCCCTTCCCTTATCAGATACAAATAAAATTCACTGCCAAAATACAGAATTGTTAAATGAAACATGTTGACTTTAAAAAAAGCTTTTATACCCATTCTTACGTTGTTTAGGAAAGATTGTGTTTGCACCTGCTTCTTCAATTTAGATTTTGAAAAGAATTTGTCAATCACCTTAAAACACATCTAAAGTTATGTACTTCTACAGAATCCTAGGTAGAGTGATGAAGTTTTTGAATGGTTGTATTGAGCTGAGTTGCCATAGATTGTTTTTCTACAAAAGGAATGGGCGGGGGGGCTCTCAAGTGGATGTTAGGGATCCCAAGTCCCCCCGAGGGGCGGGGAAAGCCCCACCCTAGAGGCCCGTTCCCCGGTGCCGCTGGATCGGGCCCCGGGGGGAACTCCACCCCAACGTGCGCATCACCCGGAAGTGACGCGGGCACGCCGGTACCGCTGGGGGTGGGGCCACGGCCATACAAAGGAAAACTCTATGGTTTTCCCTTGTATGGCCGTGGCCCCGCCCCCAGCGTGCCTGGCGTCCTCCCATCACTTCTGGGTGACGTGCGTGCGGCGTGCGCACAAGATGTCAGCCGGGAGCCCCCCGCTCCCAGTGAACATAGACTTAGCAACCCTAGTGGGAGTGGAATAGCAGGAGAGAAGGTTAATTTTTCATTGTTTTTGTTTCAGTTTAAACACATCCCACGAGGTGTCATAAGAACATAGGAATAGGGATGTGCATTCAGATATAACTGGTCTGAAATATAAAAAAATAGCTTATTCAGGTCTCCAGATGGTATCTGGAATTTTCTGGGATACCATGAAAGGGTTGTGTGTATAGTGGCATTATGAAATTTGGCTGTTTTATTTTTCATCCCTTGCCTAATAATTCCTAGCATGGTTTTTTCACTGATGACACACACTGAGTCAATATTTTCTTTGTATTACCCACTACAACCCTAAGATCTCTTTCTTTCCCTCTCAATCTCTGCCACTTCAGATCCCATCAACATGTATTTAAAATTAGAAATTATTGTTTTTGCTCCAGTGTGCATCACTGCCACAGGAGGTGGTGGAGGCTACAAGCATGGACAGCTTCAAGAGGGAATTGGATAAACATATGGTACAAAGATCCATCAGTGGCTACTAACCACAAGGTATAGATAGGAACTCTCAGTCTGGGGCAAGTGATGCTCTGTATTCTTGGTGCTTGGGGAGGGCAACAGTGGGAGATCTTCTAGTGTCCTGGCCTCACTGGTGGACCTCCTGATGGCACCTGGTATTTTTGGCCACTGTGTGACAGGGTGTTGGACTGGATGGGCCGCTGGCCTGATCCCACATTGGCCTCTCTTATGTTCTTACCTCTCACTTATTTGTTGTCCACATTTTTGCCTGCTCACCCACTCAGGAGAAATCTCTGTAATGAAAAGGGTGAAGAGGACATCCTCTTTGCTCTTTCATCAGAACAGTCTACTGATGGAAGTGGCAGGAAGGTGGTTGTGCTCTCTTCTCACTTTTTGTGGTTTCTTCCCAGTGCACCTCACCACCCTTACATGTATTTCTCTATGCAAGTCCCATAACTCCCTGAAATTAACTTCATCAGTGCTGGAGAAAACGAGGAAGTTCTGTTGGCTGATGGATCTCTGGGTTCAACCATGTAAATATACTCTGTTCCATATCTGTAATTCTGGTGTTCTGTATGCCTTGTAACTATCTTATAACTAGGAATTCTATGAAAAGTATTTTAGTGCCTATTTAGATAATGCCCTTGGGGGAAATATGTTGCCTTTTTCTTATACTAATGCAACTTCCATTTCTATATGTGGGATGAATGTGGAGACAGGGCCTTATGTTATGAGCAACTGAGGATAATATGCTATACTTTAGTTCTGTGCACACAGACACAAATGACCTGCCAATTAGTGGTCCCGTGAGAGCCTAGATGTTGCCCCCTCTCATAAAAGCCTCCCCAAATAGAAGTTTCTACATATAAGGTTTGCCCACCATATAGTCCCTTGGGTTGATGCTGGGTTGTTCAGCGTTAGTGGTAGTCAGTTGACACTACCACAAGTGCTTCTACATTTCCTATATTAGTGAATGGCAGCATTCGTTTACATGTGAAAAATGATATCACTTAGTGACACATTTGGGGTAAGAGATAAGCCTTGTAGGGGTAGGTATGAACTGATCCAGCTTGAACTTCCATATAAGGATGTGCAGCTCAAAAAAAAATCACTATTTTTTGGATCTGTGTATCAGGGAGCTTAAAAATAAAGGTATTCCTTCAGATCCAATGCACAGAACTCGGTAGGAAATCTTAGCCTCATCCTTTCATCGGTGTCCTGTTTGCATTCAGTTTCTTGGTATGACACTAAATTAGAGTATGATGCACTGCATGATGAACGTTACTTTTGTAGTCAAAGTTAATTGTATCAAAACATAAATAATACTTTAAATTTAGCAGAGATTGGCATGCCTCCAGTGAACCATGAACAGTATAAAGTTCTCAAATGAGACTTTGCTACTTTTGCTTCAACTCACTGGGTCCCCTGAAATTGTACTCTTGAGGCTCAGGAAACTCTCACAAAACAGCATGAGAGGTGAGAAGTTCTGCCAAGCAATCAGAACAGTTTGTCATTATGTATTATGCCTTGGTAATATTACCTTACAGTTCTATCATGTTGGTTTTCTAAGTTCAGTCTCAATGGTAGGAAATTTCAAAAAGCATATACTCTGTAATACTATGTTTTTTGTTTTGTTTTTACCTTAAGGTTTTCTGTTACTCAGAGTACCATGGCAGTAAATATGCATGTTCAAATGCACATTTAATGCACTCATTTTTATAATATTCACATACTGCTACAAAGAAATGGCATTCATTTTCAGTAAATTCACTTTTTATTTCACTTTTCAGTTCAAATTTCTGCATGTAGTACTGTGGCACTCCAGTTCTTATAATTTACAGATATCTTTATTTGCTACTTCAATACCATGAACACTCAGAGATGGAAAACTGCAGCATTTAATAGCATCTCAAACTAAGCTCAAGAGCTTAGTGTAACCCTGGAGGTTCCTTCCAGCTCTATGATTCTGTGAATTCAAACTCTCCTTTAAGTAATATCTGAATTTGCTTTTATCATTTACATAGTACAACATGTTGATGTAAAAAATTTATTTAATGCAGCATTTTTTTTCCTCCAGATATACCTTCAGTTAAAATTATACCTTCCACGTCATGGCCAGAAGAAGGACAATCTATAACTTTGATTTGTGAATCCAAAGGAAAACCACTGTAAGTCATTTAACAAGCAATTTTTTTTTTGTTATTTTCTTTATTCTCCTTTGATTGCAGTATCTAACTGCAAAGCTCTGCGGTTTTTTTCCTCTCTTGTCCTGGGGTGTAAAGTGATCTCTGGTACAAAAAAACCCCCTTGAAGCATGTCGTCATTAAGTGTCTATGGAAGATTGGTCTTTTATTTTGTCCCCTTTTTTTTGTTTTGGGAAAGCATTCCTGTTGAGAGCCAGTGTGGTGTAGTGATTAAGAGCAGAGGACTCTAATCTGGAGAACCAGGCTTGATTCCCTATGCCTCCACATGAAGCCAGTGGAGTAACCTTGGGTCAGTGACAGCTCTCTGAGAGCTCTCTCAGCCCTACCTACCTCACAGGGTGTCTGTTGAGGGGAGAGGAAGGGAAGGCGATTGTAAGCCGCTTTGAGTCTCCTCCAGGTAGAGGAAAGCAGAGTATAAAAAACAACTCCTCCTCCTCCTGCTGCTGGGTATTTTTTAAAAGTAAACTATTTCAACCTGAAAGGATTGCAGGCTTATTTGCTGTTCATATCATCATGATGATAGGTACATATTCTCAGAGGTTCTTATCTGATGAAAAACTTCAAAAATCAACACCTTTTTTAACACCAAAATGCTGAACTCTCTGCCTGCTTTGGTTGTCATTTACATGGTAATTGGAAATTTAATGATATATGCAAATTATCTTTTCAACTATCTCTCTTTTAAAAATAGCTTTAAGGTTGTGAAGTATATTTTTAAGACTGACCAGAAATTTGTTTACTCATTCCTGCACCAACCTTAATGTGATCTTGCACGCTGAATCTGTCATTTGAAAAGAGCATTCAAAACAGTTTGTTTCTTACAAGGTCATCGTAACTATTAGCTATAACCCCTTCAGATGGTTAATTTGGATTTTATTTTGAGAAGCTGAGATACCTGATACAGGTTGCAGATTCTAGTAGCCATAAAGGACTTGCAAACCTTTATGGCATGGTACTATTTTTGTTTAAAAAGTTAGGAATTGGCGCAATTTGTACATCTCCAGTATACAAACCAATCTGTCATGAACAATGTTGAACAATGTTAGGTAAATAAAACCAGCTTTTTTGTTTTGCTTTGCTGTTTCATCTATGGTAATCTGTTGGCTATATTTTCATTAAACTTTCATTAAATTTTCATAATAAATTACATAAATAACATGCATTTTACATACATTTTAAAAATAACAGCAGTCTGATTATTTGTGTGCAACTGCCCTGGGAACCCACGGGGTCAGCCCATTAACTCCTTGACAGACGAAAAGAGATAAAGGGGCTTTACAGTCAGAAAGGAAGAAAAAAATGGAGGGGAAATCCTGTGTCTGAGGGAAGGAAGAGGGTGAGGCTGTCATAACTGGTCACACAATGCCGTCATCAGGGCTGACCTCTCTTGTGTGGCCATGAATCTCCTCTCCTGTCCTCTTGCCAGTGTGCAGAGTGAGTGGGTGTTTCCCCACCTGGGAGACCTTCTCAGTCCCCACCTCTCCTGCCTGGACCAGCCAGGGTGGACGAGTTGGCCCTCCTGAAGGTCAGCCTCCCCCTGCTGGACTACCCTGCTGTAGACCTGCCAGAGTAAGATCCAGGCTTCCTAGGGTTGTCCCCCCCCCCATGTGTCCCCTTCTCTCCATTCCTCCTCCTCTCTGAGTGATCCAGCATGCGGCCCACGTGTTGTGTTCTTGGTGCTTGGGTGGAAGGATGGCTGCCTCTTTTGGGCAGGGTTGGGCTTGCCTCACAGCCAACCCAAACAACATCTACCTCACAAGCAGACACCTATGCCACGAACCGACATCTACTGCATAAGAAAATACCTGCTTCTTGAACCAACCAACATCTACCTCAGCACATCACCTACCTCCTGGAACGACATCAACCATAGCAAACATCCGCCTCTACAAACATCTGCCTGTACATGCAAGCCCGTTTGACTACCCTTTTCCATTTGTACAATTCACAATCACAGCCATTTTTCTCTTATATGTACAATGTGTTCTGTTAATGGTGAAGAACCACCCAGAAATGTCACCTATGAGTGGGCTGTGAGCAGGGATTGTTTGTGTTTGTCCTAAGGGGGTGTTTGGCTGGGGTGCTTGCCAAGTTGCCGTGGTGTCATTGTGGGGAGCCCCTGTCAAAACTCTGGGGATGCCTGGTCTGCCTTTCTGCTGTCCTTCTGTTTATCCATGGAGAAGAAGTATTCACCGTGATAGATGGGGGCACTCCAGACCCAGGTGTAGAGTTGAATAATACACCCTGGTTGGTGGGTGGACTGTGCACCTGTCTATTTCTGTCTATTTCTGTGCCTCAGCTGAGTACCCACATCCATTATACCTGCCCTGCTGCTGTGGGGGTACTTGTGGAATCCCCCATCAAAAGTCTGGGGGTGCCTGCTTTTCTATCAGTCTTCCAGGTACTGGCTTCATGTGTTGGTCATGGGGGTGGGTCTGTGAGTGGATGGGTGCGCTCCAGACCCAGGTTCAAAGTAAAATAATACCCCCCATCAGTGGGTGTGCTCTGCACATGTCTGTTTCCGCCCTAGCTAGTGGGTGTCTCAGCTGAGTACCTACATCCATTACTTCCTCCCAGCTACCATGGGGGTACTTTAGGGAGCCCCCATCAAATGTCTCAGGGTGCCCCCTTCCATCATTCTTTCAGATATTGGCTACAGCTGTAGGGAGGCTTTGAGTGGATGGGTGTGCTCCAGGCCCAGGAGTAGAGTCCAATAATATGCCCCCCTGTAGGAGCAGAGTCAAATAATACAGACAGGCTTTGCACCTGTCTGTTTCCGCTCTACCTGGTGGGTTCCTTAGTTAATTATCCAAATTCATTATATCCTCCCTGCTGCTGCTGTGGGGGTACTTTGGGGAGCCCCCATCAAAACTCAGTGGATGCCTGGTCAGCCTTTGTGTCCCTCCTAACCTGCTTTTTTTTTTTTTTAGACTTGAGGGGTGGCCTGGCCAGCTTCAGATATGTTTCCACTTATCCATAAAGTAGAAGTATTCGCCGCAGTGGATGGGTGTGCTCTGGACCCAGGTGCAGGGTCAAGTAATACACCCCTATTGGTGGCTGTGTTCTGCACTTGTCTGTTTCTGCCCTAGTTAGTGGGTACCTCGACTGAGTACCCACATCCATTATACCCTCCCTGCTGCCATGGGGATACTTTGGGAGCCCCCGTCAAAAGTCTGGGTGTGCCCACCTTTCCATCCACCTTTCATATACTGGCTGCATGTTTGATCCCTTGCTGAGGATGGTCATGCTTTGAGATTTGGTTGTTTGGTTGTCAGGGCTTTCTAGCCACCACATCTACTTTCTTGTCAGGGTTTTGACCCACCACGTCTACTTCTATCTCAGGCCTTTGACCCACCATGTCTATTTCCTTTTCGGGACTTTGATCCCTCATGTCTACTTTCTTCTTAGGGCTTTCAAGCCACCCACCACATCCACTTCCTTCTCAGGGCTTACAGCCACCATTTCAAAATATGTCATTGCATGCTTTGGGGTTTGGGTGCTGGGTGGACTCAGGAGTTGGAGCCACCACATATGTTATAGCATGCTTTGGGGATTGGGTGTTGGGTGTGGACTCAGGGCTTTCGAGCCACCACATCTACTTCCTTATCGTGGCTCTAACCCACCGCGTCTACTACTGTATCAGGGCTGACCCAGCACCTTCCTTCTCAGGGCTCTGAGCCACCACATCCACTTCCTTGTCATAGCTTTAACCCGCCACATCCACTACTGTATCAGGGCTTTGACCCAAACACATCTACTTCCTTGTCAGGGCTCCAAGCCACCATGTCTACTTCCTTGTCAGGGCTTTGACCAACCATGTCTACTTCCTTCTCAGACTTTCCCACCACCACATCAATATACACTGTTGCACACTAGTTTCTGTTTGGGTGTCAGTGGTGGACTCGGCTTGGAGCTACCTTGTCTACATACATCATTGAACACTTTAAGGTTGGGTTGTTAGAGGTGGACTCAGAGCTTGGAGCCACAACATTTACATATGTCACTGCACACTGGCTTCTGTTTTGGTGTCAAGGGTGGACTCAGTTTGGAACCACAAATATCATTGCACATTTTGGGGCTTGGGTGTCAGGGGTGGACTCAGGGCTTGGAGCCACCATGTATACATGTCATTGTAGGCTTTGGGGGCTGGGTATCAGGTATACATAGAGCTTTGAGCCACTACTTCAACTTCCTTCACAGGGCTTCAAGCCACCACTTCTACTTCCTTCTTAGGGCTTGGAGACACCACGTCTACATATACTTCAGGGCTTGTAGTTACCACTTCTACATATGTCACTGCGTGCTGGTTTGGGTCTCAGGTGGTCTCACAGCACATTGCCCTGGTTCTACAGGGTTGACAAAAATGTGCCCCACCTTCAGTTTCTGCTGGAGATTCTTGGGGACTTTGATTCTGTTTCTGTTCTGCTGGGCTTCTGACCTTGCTTCTTCTTCTTCTGACGCTTCTTCTTCTTCTTCTTCTTCTTCTTCTTCTTCTTCTTCTTCTTCTTCTTCTTCTTCTTCTGTTTTTCCCGAGTGGAAACAATGGAATATGGGGCACCTTCTTTGTGGGGGCGTAACTCAGACCCCATAAATCCAATTCTCACCAAACGTGGAGGCAGGTAGAGGAGACTTAGCCAGAGATGCACTGTGTTTTTGCTGTCTAGCATGTGGGGGGCGAGCAATCAATACACTCCTGAACCTCCTGAACCTGCACTTCATTTCCCCAGAAAACACTTCCCTGTGGGCACCTTCTTTGGGGTGGGGGCGTAACTCAGACCCCATAAATCCAATCCTTGCCAAATCTGGAGGGCAGGTAGAGGAGAATCAGCCACAGATTTAGTGTGAGTTTGGTATGTCTAGCACACCAAAGGATACACTTACTGAATGGACTCATACAAACAGGTTTTTTGTTCATGACAGTCTGTTCAATCAGTAGGTGCATCACAAACTGAACTGCATTTTCC